GAGGTGGTGGTCCCTCTGGGGAGACCCCTGCCACCATCTGCTTTCCCTGCCCTGCCTTTTTGTCTTGAATAGCCTTTTTTCTCGCTTCACCCAACTGCAGCTTCAGCAGCTGCGACTGCAGTTCCTTAAGGTCGCCTTCCTCTTTCTGTGCTTCCTCTTTTGCCCTCTGCAAATGATGAACGACATGCCTGTCCCACATCTGAGAGTCTGCTCCTTGGAGATCTGGGTTGTCTAATATAGCCCCCTTCACTCCCGCTGGGACTCCCTCCATTACTGCCCGCCTGAACCATTCCCGCTGCGCCCCATCCTGCCCTGGATGGCAGCCAGTGCAACGGGTCCAATCCTCTTTACATTTATCAAAATATGCTCTGGGGTGGAGCTTAGGATCCCATGTAAACTTTGGGATCACTGCTCCGCTCGGGGCGGGGAACATCTCTCGCATGGCGTCACCCAGGTCCATTATCATCCCTGTCAGACGCACACTATTTGCAAAAGAAGTAACCTCTGCTCTGGCCTCTAGATCCTGTAAAGCATGCTTAGTCATACATCAGGCTGCCACTGCCCGAAAGTCCCCCAGGGCCAGCGTCAGACCCTGAGTGAGTTGATCCAACTTATCCAGCCACTGTCCTCCCCCCTCGGCTGGGGGAGGCAGCTTATCTGCCAAAGCCTGCACATCTCCTATTGAGAAAGGTTTGTATCTTTCCCTGCCACCTGTTCCTCGCAATAAAGGTGCGATTATCTTTGTCCCTTTGGAGCACAAGCTGTATACATTTCCGGATGGCCCCAGCGCTCCTTCTATATACTCTGAACCAAGTGCGTCTGCCTGGTTTTCCCCTAAAGGCTCTTCCTCACAGTCCTCGAACAGTGGGTCCTCCTCAGTCTCCTCACACATCCCCACTAATTTTCCCACCACCTCTACTTGCTTTTGCTTCCTACCCCTGAATCTCATCCCTCTTCCTAGGGTGGCGGGTTTAAACATGCCATTCTCCCCAAACTCCTCTGCTTGCTCCCGCACTATTCTGTTACGGAACGCTGGCTGGTCTGGTGGCCGTGCACAGCGCTGCAAGTCTCACCTGTCTTTTGTCCCTTGAGATGAGGACTCAGCCTCGACGTCTGAGCCCCCGTCTGATTCCTCCTCCACTTCCTCACACATGCGCTGCCATGCCTCCGTGACCTCTTTCTCCTTATTATTCTCCCTGCTTGCCCCTGCCACTGCTTCCTTCACCACTTGAATCTGCCTTAACAGGGACTTCCACACTGTATTTTTAGGAGGTGCCCATCCTCCGTCATCTAACTCTCTGTCAAACTCGTGATCCATTTTAATTGGACCGCCTATATTACGGTTATTTTATTATTATTATTCTTGGTACTTATTATTATGGTATATTATTCAGTACTTTTACTGCTTTATTTTATTTATTTATTTTTATTATTATTTTTTATTATTATGTTATCTCCTAGGAGTGTTTTTGCCTCTGGGTGTGGGTTCACCCAACCACACTTACTCCACCTTTTTTTTTATTGTAGTGGAATGTCCTACTATTAAACACCACCAATACATAAAACAGCCTTACAAACAATAATTCTGCATTCACACTCACTGCTGCGCTTCCCCTGAGTAGGGCGCGCCTCACACTCTCAATCCCAGCAAAATCAACACATTCACACATCACCTAGTATTTTTGAGACTCCGAGCCTCGGGGCTCACAACCCTTTCAGAGAGGGATCTTACTCCCTCATCCCACCTTTTGTTTGGGGGTCTTCAATTCCCCGGGTTCCAAACCCAGCTCGCCTACCAGCTCGTCAACCAATAGGGAGGTCGCCACACCCAAGACTATGCGGGGTCCCAGACCCTCCGTTCCTTAAAATGGGTCCCGGACCCTCTTTTTATTTACTTACTTTTCGGCAGGGTCCCGGACCCTC